CTCTTTAACAGCGAAGTCATTAAAGCTCGCTCTTGCGAAAATGCGTGCCTCGTGAAATTCCTTGCGAACAACCCCCTACCACCCTCTGTAGCCTCACCCGTGTCTCTTGGTCGTGCGATCGATAACGCGAAAATTAAGACGCTTCACCACTAATTTATCCCGCGAAGTATATCGCATCAATTGTCAAATTAAATATCTCTCTCTTTCATGCGGCTAATTACTTTCAGCCTCTTCGCGCAAACGCACGCACACTTGCGTGGGAGCATCCAATTGATTGTATTGTAAATGCGTTACGTGGCGCTCAGTTACAATCGGTGAAAGAGCAATCGACGTGCAACGCGGTTTTGTTCGACGCGGGAACGCTGCATTCGATTCGGTGAAATTTGTCTCGCCTTTATCGAGCGAACAAAGCGCAAAACGCCGCGACGGTGACTGGGTCGACTGCGAAGTACAAATTATCGGGGATACCGATCTCCATTGTTGCAACTATACGACGCAGGCCTGCTTAACAATATTGACCCTCTTGCGAAACGTTCGTTTTAGGACGAAACAATCGCGTCGCAATAAAACAAACGGTCTAACGATCTAATTGCCCGGATTCGACGGCGGCGGCGCGCGCGTGCGCTCGATATTCTAAAAGACACGCAGTGGCATCGCGCTAAAAGCGTAAGAGAGATTTCAACCTCGAAAAACCCGGCTCGCAACAATTTCCTCGCTCCGTCGTCTTTTGAAATGCAAATCGGGCTAAGAGAGCGAGGCGAATCACCGGGTAAAGAGAACGAGGGAGACAAAGAAAGAGAGGGAGACCCCCGTCACTTAAAGGCGTCAATTATTCGTGATTTAATTCGGGACGTTCCGATTCGCGGTGTCTCGACATATTTCAGCGGGAAACGCCCGCGAAGCGAGCATCGAGTTCTCCCCGTAAACCCTGTTCCTTTCTCTCGCGAACCGAATCGAGTTCACGCGAAAAGAGAGGAATCGCGATAAAGGCCGCTCACTGAGGAGCAAATTGCAAAGAGAGGGTCTCCGCCCATTCAGCAACTTCTCTCGCGTATCAGCTTCTCCTTTAGAAAAATTATCCCGGTATTACCTTTTTTCATTACTCGTAATCCCGCGGGAGCGTCGGGCGCGCGCGGTTTAACGAACGAGGAGGAGGCGCGGACCTATTAGCTGCGAAATTCCGGGCGCTTTGTGCCCCGCGAAAAATTTCTCGCGTATAATGCCTCTTTTTTCATCGCGTAACGTATTACCCAATAAAATCTCTCGATCAATCACTCGCCGGAATCATTACTTTAAACATTTGCCGCCGTACTTGGCGTTGCCAGGGTTTCGTTATACGCGATATAAACGAATATCGTATGCGACACAGCTGTAAATTATAAGTAAAATATATGTTTGTATAAATATATATATTAATGACAATCCCTCCGTGTATTAAAATCTATCCGACGTATGATAAAGTCGCGTCGTTTAATGTCGCCGCGAAACTCCCGTGAATATATTTATACACTGTGAACGCGCGCGAGAGAAAGGGCCGCTGTAACCGACTAATAATTCACTCTTGACTTTTTCTCGCGCGCGATAAATTTGTTAACGTACGTATAATGGCGACGATGCATTAACCACGTCGAGCTTTTTCGAAAGCTACGCGTATAATGCCGCACGTTCCGTTGGAAGTGCGTCGAACAGTATGAGCTTCGGATTTCAGCCGAATGACCCTTTCACCGCGCCAGATACCAGAGATAAATCGCATGCGTCCATGTTATTTCGGGAGAAATTTTGAAATATTGCAAAAACAAACATCGCCGCGCGCGAATCTACGCGATGATAATTTATCAGGTGCGCGAACGCGTCCGGTCGATTAATTCGAATCCGTTATTGTGGCGGAAGAGCTCTCTCCCCGACAGCGTCAAGAATGATGCCGAATGATATCGAGGAACACAATCACGATACGGCTGATCGAAACGTTAATTCAATCGCGAAATTTAACCAGCGATATCACTCGGTCGCTCGAGTATTTTATGAAAGCTCACGACTCACTCCATTATCGATTCGACGAATCGCAACACTTTTGTTTACGGCGCAGGTGTAAAACAAACTTCAGCGCGCGCTATATAGAGGGAACTGTTTAACGTCAATCTACCCGTCGTAGACCGTCCGTACCGCTTACTTACCAATCAATTAGGCTACTTCGTAAATCTTTGCAGCCTGATTTTTCCCCCCTATAACGTTACTTAACGCGACGTCAAAACGTGGTATGACGCTTGCTTTATATAGCTCGGCTATCGATTCGACAATAAATTACTTTCCCCCGGCATTTTATACCGTCGCAATCGCTGCATTGGTTCCACCGTTTAAAACCAAATATCGCGGACGGGCAAAAGATTTATTCGAATTCCGGGCGATATAAAGATATACTGTTGAGACGATAGCAACACGCAAAAGAGCCGGAATCAGAGGGAGCAACAATACGGGCGGTCAATACGGGAGAGAACGAATAATTTCCGCGAAATATTGGTAAAAACAACAGCGCAATGCGAAAGTAATGCCGGAGAGAGAGAGTCAGGAATAACATTTGATTACCGTTATCGAAAAAAACAGAGGGATCGTTGCGTGGTACAACGGGCGCAAAAGGCGACGAATTAGCGTTCTACCCCTCCTATCTCGCTACCGCTTCGTTATCATCGATACACATGCAATGGTATCACCGGACAAATTAATTTATGAGCGGCGTGCTCCGATCACGTGCACTCGGCGGCGTTGATGGCGATAAATTTAGCCCCGCAGGCGTACAACGAATTTTCGAGGGTTGCAACGGCGGGTGCGCCGGTCTCTCTCTTTCCCTTTCTGCCGACGACGACGAGGGCGACGGCTTGGGTCGACCGGTTAATTCGCGAAACGTAAGGCCGCTTCTGCCGGCCACGAGTCGCGCCGTTAAGGTCCCAGGGCATGAATAATCCGCGCGCACGGGTCTAGAATAATTTCACGTTGAATTCAAATCCGGGATCGATGAGGCCTACTCCCGCCGACGATCTAACCCAGTTTCGCGTTACGATAGGCGTGTGCAGCACACCGAGCGCGAGTGTGTTTCTCGCTCCGCGGAGTAGAGCCGCGAGTCGATAAAAACGCAATTTTGCACCACTCTCCACGCGGCCGGCTCTGCCCGATGACGTGGAAAACCCGCACGAATCGCGCGACATACCGCGAAAAACGTAAACACGCTCTCAGCTTTCCGCCCCGACAGGGAAAGAACGACCACCAATTTCGTCGATTGACCGCAACGTTTTGCTGCGAAAACTTTCTTCACTCGATCGTCGCGAATAACATTACATAACCGGAGAAAGTGGTGCACATATATACGTTCATGTGTACATATTTCCGACGTCGCGGCCGTTCGTGAGCAATCTGCGGGAGATCTACCTGTTCCTACAGTTTGTTGGGAGGGATCCGTCGGCAGGAACCCCTACGAGTTACGTGCGACTCGCGAGGGCGAACGCTTCTCGCGGACGACGACGGTCGCGCACCACGTGAGGAGCTGTTTAACAGAACGACATCGCGACGCCCGCTACGTCGACGACGCACCACCCCCCCCTACGAGGCGGAGAAACTGCGCGCGAGAGATTAACGAGCGCATCGCGTAAAAAAGCGCCGCTCCGAGCGTGCCGAGGCGCCTCGCGTGACCTCGCCGTCAAAGAAACGCGACGCCCCGCCGGTAACGCGGATTAATCGAGGATGACACCTCTCCGCCAGCTAAGTCTAATTGACGAAAAGGTCGGCGAGAAAGCCTCCGCGCGCCGGCGACGGCGACGGACGCACTCCGGCTGCATCGATGGGGAGCGCGAAAGAACGCACTGCTCGCGATCGAACGCGCGAAATGCGGGGCAAAAATTCGGAGGAGGAGCGCACTAGTCGCGGCCTGCCGCGAGATGAGTGCGTGCGTACGCGCAAGGTGCGTGTCCGAGCACCTGCAAGTCACCCCGCGACCTTCGACCGACGAAGGTTCGTCGAAGACTGGCCGGCAAAGGGTGGGAGGCTCTTTTTCAAAGGCGGCGTTTTCTCCACGGCGGCGGTGGCGGCGACAGCGGCGAAGCTTCCGGATGAAGGTAACGGGCATGCGTGTGACGGATGGCACGAGCGTGCACAGGGTGTGCCGAGAGAAACGCGTGATGCGGAAACGATAGCTTGCGGTCGCTCGCTCGCTTTCCGCGCGTGTGTCCGACGACCACCCGCCGTCTCTCGTCAGAGTGTGTGGTTTATGATGGTGATGTAGATTAGACTGCCTGGAGCTTTGATTCCCTTTGCTCTCTCTCGAATCGGCAAATCACGTTTCGCTCTCGACGCAGCGAAAGGGGATCATATTTTGCTCGGTACATTAACACCGATATCTCAAAGAGACTCGTGAACCGACTAATCGCGTTGTAAAACGGTAAAAAGTTTTGATTGATACTTTCAGTCAGTCTTGACGCTAGAGCGAACCTTCACTCTTAAGATGCTTCTCGAGATAACGAGGTTATACTTGACTATTTAAAGAAGGTAGTTCGGCTCGACTGCGAAGATTCGGTTAATCGCACTGCGGTAAAGCGAAGTTATTGGATCACCTTGTATATCGCGCGTCCGCGGTTCTATCTGCCGCCTCGAATCCCCTTGTCGTCGTACAATCTCTATTTTCTCTGATATCTCTCGACATTTGGAGAGTCTCACCCGTTCCGACTTATTGTTTTCGGAGAAATATTGAACTCGAGGGTTTCACATGCAAGTAACTTAAAGTCACTCGCAAACATTCATCAAGTTTCACATCGCTTAATCTTTCGAGGAAAGATAAGAAAAAATGCACAATCGTTGCCGCCAAAATAAAGGCGATACACTATCAGCGTTTGAATAAGTTCAAATGAAATTTTGCCGACAATTAAAGATATGGGAAATTATCAGAATTTAGCGGTCCACTTGTATCCCCGAGGCATGCAGCAATAACGTTTACAGGAATAAAATATTCGACTCACCACCCTGCTATGCCGTTCGGTTGTATCTCCTGCAGGAAGATGCCGAGCTCGCCTTTGTCCTTGCTGCGCAGACCGACCACGCTGAATCCCAGGCTGGTTCCTTCCGGCTTGTACAGCTAGAAAAACACACAAGATCGTCTCGATCAACAAAAAGAGTTTACAATGTGACTTTCTCATGGCATACGTCCTAGTAGATTTCACTGAGGCCACAAGTTGATGTGAAAACATTTCTTTACCTGGACTGTAAATATCTGTCGTCCTCTCGCTGCGGCTTCGATAACCTTCTTGAATTCTTTCGCGTAAGTAGGGGTAGTTATGGGAGGCATTCCAATAACTTCTGAAACAAGACTCGGGCTAGTAACCTGTAACAAAATTGCGACAAGCATCTCAGTGCATTGAAGATCCACATGAACAACGTCCGAGTTAAGTGGGATAATACGGGATTACCTGTGCGCTTGTATCTTCGCTGCTGCTGTGCAATAATGGAGCAACTGGTACTCTCTGGTCCTCCAATTCGCTGCTGTCTTGGTACAAGTCTTGATAGAGATTCGGTGCGAGTGGTTGCACTGGAGTACTCGGTACAGACAGTTCTAACTGCCCGCTGATGTTGATGTCGAAGTCGCCGGGCAAAATAGACGGATGATGCGCCAATTGAGTGTTCAACTCGATCAGCGAATCCTGAATCGTGATTATACTGCGAAGTACTGGATCCTCCAGCAAGGATATCAGTGACTTTATATCTTGGGATGTGTGCATCTGCAGCTTAGGATCGTCGCAGTCCTCCACACGTTCCTGCACGTGCTCCAACAAGTGGAGCGCTGTAGATATATCTATAACAGAAAATATCACATCCATTTGCTAAGATCTCGCTAGTTAAAAAGGTATAAGGTACGATTATGAAAATTCCCCGAGTATAACGGGTTAGCTAGACGAAAGAAGAACGCGAATAGTAATTTATTATGTTCACAATTACCTGCGCTGAGCGGCATTGTGGTCTCTTTTGAACTTCCTGACGAAACCCGAGTATAAACAAATACCTCGCACCTGGAACAGGAGGGAACAATATTCCGTAATCTGTGGAAAATTATTCAAATTTGAATATTCAAATTCAAATATTCAAGGTACGCGTCAAATTCGTTCCGAGTCACTCGAACGCCATGTATTTTCTTAACCTCAAAACGACGTAATCGCGACTCTGATTTCGAGCGAGCGACGTTAACTTCGTCGTACGGGACGACGCTCCGACGGGCGATTAATTTTCATTAAGTAGCATCGCCGTGAACGTACATCGCGAATCGATATGAAGTTGCGTGACGGAGAGGAAGCTGCGATTATGTCTCCAGCATCCGCGACTCCTCACCTGGATTCGCGAATCACGAAGGGAAAACGGACACTTCCGTGATTGTCTGCAAGCTCACACGATCACGATCGATCTCACTACTTAGCTAGCGAGCGACGGAGGATTGCATTTCGGCGTCAGCTGACTAAACTATCGCGATATCGAGCACTTGACAACTTTCCTGATGTACAGGAGGATCTCGGAACAGGCACGCATTCGGAGCGACTCGAGCGATCACGTGACCAAACGCGGCAACTTTCGAACGTTCTCGAGCGCGGCCTCCCGCTGTCTACCGCGGTCCAGCCTTTCTTTAAATGTTTGTATACATACCATAGGCAGTGTTTACTCGTGTATAAACAAAACACGAAAAGTTTGCGTAGTGTTTCCTTTCTTTTCTGGTCATTGTTCCGAGTAGAATAAAAAGTCACAACGTTAACGTGACGTCAAAATGATTGCAAAATGACTTCCAAAGAACATTTTTTTATCATGACAGAAAATTGATAAAACTATGACTTTAGAATTTACAAATTTTATTCTTTTCAAGTAAACTTTTCAATATTTTTAAGTTACACATATTACTAGCTATATACAAAATTGTTTATGCAAATAATATTCTATTTATTGCAATTATAAACAATTATTTATATAGCTCATTAAATATAGCTAAAAAAATTATATTATATTATATTATATTAATATATTAAGCTAATTATAATTATTATAATTCTAAATACAACAAACAATTTTTTTGCAGTTTATTCGTAAGAATGTTGCGTATATAATGCGTAATTGAAGCAAATAAAGCGTACGTACAAGATACTCACTTTTCAGTGAACGTAAATTTTTTGAACTAGTGTTGCCAGTTCAGCGAAAAAGAACAGATTATATATTTACCGAAATCATATTTGTTTTAATATCTCGTTCTTAACACCTTGGCTATTCTCGAATAATTTTTATATGAGAATGACAGGAAGTTATGATAATTATAATTATAAATTGCAACGATGATTAAGTTTTCCTTTTTTATTCGTTTCCATCGTTTACACGAGAATTATATGGACTGAAAGCAAAGTGAAACTCTTATACGATTGCTTTAGCAGTCAAGGTGTCGAGAAAAATTTTCTTTCTGTTTGTTTCATTTGCGAGACGCTTATTACAGCGATGGTTAACTATGTTGTATGTAATATAAAATTAAAATAAACGTTTTAAACGGCTGTGTGAGAAATGCGTTGGAGAATGCCGCTCTCTGTAGGTATGTGAATATATGCCTTGATCACCGATAAAGTAACATTGTGATGCGGGAGCTTCGAAATAATTATGCACATTAAAAAGAATGAAATTTATTGTCATCCGGTTCTGTAGGTAATAGCAGATTTACTTCTAGAGATATTTAGTTTCTCAGACTTGTAAAAAAAAGAATAGAAATAGATGAAGAACCCGCCTATATATATGATACTTCACTTCCGTGATCGTAAATATAAATAGTTTTCATGAGGATGAAAGTGTACTTTGTAAAAATGATTAGTTTTTCTTTCTTGAGGAGAAAAATATCTTATGAATGCAATTCTTTCATTTTTAATAAATACGAAATGATATATACGCGCGAGAGAAAAATGAGTTACTATATCCAAATCCATCCGCGGATTACCGTCACGATTATTAAATAAAAGGATACGTACGAAAAAAACGTATTACCAGGCGCTCAGAAATTTATTACGTCTCTCTATCTTTCAGATGGACTGCGCGGAAACATCGTTATTTGCTATCCCCAGAGGAGGAGATATTTCTTAAGACAAGTACAATATCCTTTGGGAACAACACGGAGGAAGCAGTTTCGTGAAACAGGGAAGAGGGAAAAATCCCGGCATCATTATTAATTCCGTAACTCAAGAAGAGCAGGCGTACACTCTTTTGTTTTTGAACATTACTTTATACTTATATTCAGAGCGAAATATAATCTTTAATTTTATGTTCAAAAAACACGTATGTTTTCCTATTTTTATCATATAAGAAGAAGAATTACGTTAAAACTCTATTAAAAGTGTGTAAATTTTTTCGATAGCAATAGATACCGATATAAGTAGTAGCGATGAGGCTACTTTCAATTTTCCCTGTGATTATTAGGAATATTAAATAATACATTGAAGACGAAATAGTATGAGAAAGGAAAAAAATTTGCCAGGACAAATCTGCTTACAATGTGAGTCTAGTTAACTTTTCAACGTGCGGCAAGTGACAGGCTTTTAGCGGTCGAGCACTTTGCATGACTTATAAACAGGTCCTTACGCAGAGTTTATCCTACATGTGTTTATATATGCAGGTGTTATGTAAGTGTGTATATGTGGTACGTAGCAATTAAGCAGATACTATTAATACACTCAATTCTATTAAATTAACGATAAAATGTGAAATTATCCACGTTGAAATATTTTACAACTTTTACATTGATTTTTCTTTTTTTAAAAAATTTTCGCATTTCATTTATATCGTAAGGATGATATATTATCGATTTTTTATTTCTTTAAGTTCATGGGAAATATGTGACTCGTTAGACGCGAACGTGTTAATTCGCTACCAAGATTTCATCCTCACTATTCGAGAACCGCTAAGATGGTGACTTTTATTTTTTATCACCGTTCTTAACGTCGGAAGATATTTCCGGAAAGTAAGTCCTACGCTGGATTTATCAGAATCTCCCCTATTCTCGGTGTGATATACACAATACCCCACTTGCTACCTCGCAAATATTTTACGGGAAGGCTAACTTCGCAAGAACTTCGCAACGTGCGTACACACCGTGGGTCTTCGCGTAAGAGGGGAATCAGTTTCAATATTGAGACCCGTCCCACGGTAGGGACAGGATCGCAAAAATATCGCACGAGGACGCCTCATCGCCTCGGCACTTTATCCAGTCGATCGTTGAGCGGCTGGCTGCCTCCGACCGATGATGACAGCGCGATCTCGTCCTGGTTGACCTCGGCCGGGAGTCTCTAATCCATGATTCCGCCGCGGCGATGTCGGACCGCCGATATATCGGCGTCACGAGGGTCCGTTGTCGTCAACGCTGTCGGATGGTCGAACCTCGACGACGTGACGCGACCACGCATCGCCCGTTTTCCCGGATGGCCCCCGCGGAAACCGGACACACAATGGACCCATTTCCGGCGCGCGCAAGGCCAGAAGTCGGACGTGGGGACCCCACCTGTGGGGCCCACGCTCGCTGCCCCCTACGGCCTGTGGTGACTGCACATCTATCGCGAATCATTCATCGGGTATCCACACTTTGCTCTCTGCCCATCCTCCGCCTCTCCACCTCCCCGGCACACAGACGGGTGTCTGCCCATTATTTCCACGCTTCCCGCCGATTTTGACCGTCAGTTTGATTACGGGTGCCGGTCGCGCCGCACGCGTGATTTTGGCGTGCCAACACACCTCCTTCGCGCCTCTCACGCACGAGGAACGTGAACGATCATCGGCGCTCTACATCAGAATCGGCATCAGGATCACCGTCAGGAGACTCGACCTCGCGCTTCTCTCGGTTTTCCCTTCGACCACCGCGACCACGTCGGGTGTGAGAGCTTGCGGAGGATCGGGCACAGCTGCTCCTGCGGGGTAAGACAATCTCTACCCTTCTGATTGATTGATGATGCTTTCTTGCGCAATTAACTATTCTGGCATCCAGACTTCTCCGGCAGTTCCGAATTAATATACGGAGCGGAAGATAATCGATATGTCGAATCTAATCATAATTTTGCAGCTCCCTTTTAATCACGGGCGAAGATTGGATTACATAGAAGGGAGGGTCGACATCAACCATTTTTTTCATTAACTTCCTTGAAAAGAATCCCTCGAATCAGCAAACTATGCTCAAAATTCATTTCCAACGTTACAGATTTTTTTTTCCAACGAATACACGACGCGAGTGATGTTCGCGAAGATAAGGGAAATGTATGTTGATAATTAGCTGGAACACCGTTCACACAGTTGTGCGTGTTACATGGTCAGGATAGAATAACCGAGCTAGCATGCCGACTGTGTAACGACTTGAAATCTTAATTGATTATTCCAACGACGCATTGCGTGGCAATTAACGCGTCGATGCGCGCGTTCGTTTCTATTGCTATAATTACAACGATTAGCCGCAGAAGATCGTTGCGCAATTGTAAGATACGAGTGTAGTGATTTTCCGCGAGGAGGATCTTGAGCGCGATCGCATGGTCGTATATTCCATCGCGCTCGATAATAATTTCAATGCCGTCGGTGAATCCCGACTGACGAGGCGATTCGCGAAAGTATCAGCGCGAACCCGAGCGCGCGCTCGCATTCATCGCATCGGCGCCCGCGCGTTGTCGCGCTCGAATTTAATTCGACGGAATTAGCATGGCACATTACCAGATAATAATTTGTCGTTGCGTGCAAACGTTCCATTAACATCAACGTCACACAACAATGACCGAATTCATTCCCCTGTTCGATACGGGTACGCACGCAACAATGCCATCCGCCGTACCGACAGAGTTCAAAGCACCGCGACAATAGCTTCTAGTGGAAGCTCACAATGAAGCTGTCGCAGAAAGTGAGCTTTAAAAAGGCGATGTGTGTGCGTTCCCAGAGCCCGTGCGGCAAATCGTGTAAATCAATGCCGCTTTAACGACTTGCCCGGCTTTATCGAGATTACATTTCTACGGACGCGCACGTCGTGATTTCGATTTATGCGTCGAATTTTGTCCGAAAATTGTAATATATGTATCGCTGCACTCAGACAAAAAATTAGGAACTACACTATGGAGGGGAAGCTAGGCCGATATTCATAATCAGATCTTAAATATAAAATCCGACTATGAATACATGGCCCTAATGGATTGTTGTTACTACAGATCACTTTATTAGCTGCTCGAATTAACCCTGTTAAAAATTTCCAGGTAGATTCCCATGAAAATCCCCATCGGAACTCGTGTGAATCTATATGGGATAATAAAAATCCATATAGGAATCCACACGGCGTGTGAAGATCCAATGGAATAGTTGTACTTTGCAGCAAATACATCTTATCTCTAATAGCTAACGTCCTTGCTATCGCAGCTAATAAATCTAGTCGCAGTAACGACATTAATTGTTCCTATTTCAGCTGCTAGGGCTAGATGTTTACTTCCATAGCTAATTCTTCCTCTGAGTGCAAACTTTGTCCGAGTAGACCGAGTAGCACGATAACGAAAAAAAAAATCAAGCAACTTCGAATCGCGTGAAACTCCAATGGTCTCGACATCTCAAAAACCCTTTACCGTAAGTCATAAGCGTTCTCGATCGACGAGTCTCGCTTGTGTCTAACGGCATGTTTAATTACCTTAATCTGAGTAATTTCCCGAAACAATTTGCATATGACAAGCGGCACATTATAAATCCGGCATTCCGGCGGGGACAATTACACAAATGTAATTTCTTGTGCGCCGTAATATTCTGAGAATTATAACGAACAGGCGTCGTAATTTTCTCACCGATGATATTAACATCAGTATGAGCTTTTATACCGTTGCCGGTGACAGTCGCAATTACCAGGGCGATAAACCGTAACGCAATTAATAAGCAGTGCCGCTGGACACGATGGGAGACAATCGCCGGACGAGAGTATGGCTGTAGTAATTGGCACTCGTCACGAACAAGTAGGTGCGCTCGCCTATCGCCGAGTAAACACAAATTACACCGATAATAAAATCGCCTTTACGATACATTGTCGATATCGTAAACATCCTGCTGTAGTATCGCCGTAAACAACCGGGAAATCTCCGAACTCGCAGGAAATCACGGGCCCCCTAAGGCGAACATTTCCTCTTAACGACGCTCGCGTCGTTTCTCTCGGATTTATCGGACCCATCCTGCGGAACTGGCAGATTTTCAGTAAATAATTTTTATCGACGTATTTCATTATTCGCGTTCCATTGCTCCCGTGTAAGCGTCTCCATACAGCAACCGCTGACAATAAGCGTGATTTTATACTCACAGGCACCGCTCTGACGTGGAAAACTATACGAAGCACCGGGTTTCGACTTATTACAATGGATCAGAATTAGCAACTTCTGAAGCTGGAATCATGTATGTCCAGGTATACGTGACGAAGGGAGTCTTCGTGCGAGAGAGTTAAGATCGAAGCTCCCGAGAACAGGTTCGCTCTATCGTTCTATCGTTTCCGATGATTGAACCCGACGTTGAGCTCGTCTACGTCAATCACGATAACCGGACAGATAATGACAACAGCTAATAATGCGATGCCTGAAAGTTGGAACCACGCTTCGCTGCCCTTACGGGCGTGTGTTGGTCCTTTCGCAGCCGCGTGTACGTACACGGTCACGCGCATGCGAACGCGCGAGGGGATGCGAGTGTGTGGAAATGTTCAGGGTGAGCGCTTGCCAGGAATCCCATAAACTCTATTACACGCTGTCCCTCTGCACGTATCTCAGCTACGTGGAAACATCCACTGGCCAGAACAAATGGTTCTCGTAACTTCATCTCCACTTCGATTTTTCGCGTATCGTTGCGCCCCTCTCTTTTTTCTTTTTATCTTTCCCTCTACTATTTTTTTTATCGCGCGAGAAACAGAAACTGAATATGCTTATCGTGCCTGTCGCTCGGTGAACTCGGGAGAAATATTCTCGGATGATTTTGAAACGGAGCCAGGGAGACTTCACTGTCGGTTTCTATTCGCGCGTTCAACGCCTCGCCGAAGTAAATTCAGAGTAACGAGCGACGTTTATTTTACTTTCCTGAACACGTCGAACCGTCGGCAGCGGTAATACATAATTTAGGAGAGAACTACGTTTCCTTCCGGTAACGTAAACATTTCATTGTGTTTTTTTCCGACGTTTATTTCGCGCGACGGAATAAAGACGCGTGGGAGAAACGCCTGCCTTTCGATGGCTCTGCGTGTAAATAATTTTGCGATCTCTTGCATTCTTAAATTTCAATACAAAGCTACTTCTTAAAAGAACATTCCTCTTCTTGCATAAATTGAATTTCTCCTCTCTTTTCGAAGCGAGAGATGCGCATTCCTGGCCGACTGCTCTGAATTTCTACCTCAGGCAATTTTACAAAGCACAAGATGAAATAATTTAATATCGCGCGTGATGACGCACATTCGATAAAATTATTATTGAAAAATATTGAAAGCGTCGGGAGACTTTAACACGGTGATAGTGCGCTCTCCGAAGCGAAGGGATTTCATTTTATTTTGGCACATCAAACTTTCAATGATTCATTTGCAGATCCTCAGCAGCGATTGGCATGTGCGCGAAATAGCAGTTTCTACACTTGATTTTCGCGATGCACAGGACTCACGGATTAATTAGTATGCTGCCAATCGTCTGGATATTCGCCATCTTAAACTTGTTAGTTAACGGTAAGTCGACGATGGAAAGTTCAAAGTCCTTCGAGCCGAAAACGCGAAAGTACATGCACCAATATACGATTTACGTTTGACTAATGAAGATAGAAATGGATCTCGGCACGTTTCTGTGTAAAATTGCAACAGGAGAAAATGTTTGTAAAAAAATCCCGAGCTTCCGTTCGGCAGCGCGATCGTATCGCGCGTTGTAAAAATGCGCCACGCGTTGCGTTTGGTATTCGCTGTTTGCGTACAGGCAAAATAGTTCCGCAAACGTGCTGGCGCAAAAGTCCAGGTATATATTGTCGGTGAAACGATGTCATGTGTACTTGCGAAACTGTTGGTCGGCATTGTGTTGCTATCCGTGCCACTTATGGCGCAAAAATATCGCATCGCTGATAAAATCAAAGCGCGCGTTCGCGCTCTGGGCACAGCTCAGAGGAAGTAGCGTGGAATTTTACGCAAAAAGGAAATAATAATCCGCGTGTTTCGAACGAGACAATGTGCCAGCCAAATCGGCGACTGACCGATCACCGTGCGTTGACCGTGCGTTCTAACGAGAAAATGGCTCAAGTTTCAGCACAGACGACCTGCAACGGCGGTTTGGGTCGGGTTGTTTACGAGAGACTGCCGGATCAACAGCTACAGGGTTTCGACGACGATGTGGTAATGTTGCACTTTGAAAATACTTTGGACCCGAGCTTTGACTACGTCACACCGACGACGCCGACCTTTACAATCTCGATTTTCCAATCTATCTCCGCGAGAAAAATCCTCTCTTATCGTGATCGCGATACACGGTGTTTTATCCCGGAAACTGTGCGGGATTTTCCAACGTTTTTACAGAAATTATCATTTCCGACTTTTTCCAATGTTATGACACTGTCAGTTCCCATTAGTGCACTCAAGACGCTTTAGACGGTGATTTTTCGATCGTTTCTCAAATTTCAATCACCACACGGGAAAAAAAATCTGAAAAAATCTGCAAAATCTTTCATTAACCGGAAAGGGAACAGTTAGATGCGTTCCGGTTGAAAAAAACAGAATTTCTGATTCCTGTGGCCTAAATGTGGCTCTTACAACTAGAAATTCTGTTTCCTTCAACCAAAATCCCTTTCTGGTTAACATAAGCAAACTTTCATTTCTGTGCACGATTTCGCGAGGTAATTTCCGCAGAGAGAAACATTACAGCGACGATTATGTATCGCGTGAAATGTATCCGACATTTAAAGAATTCCGGTTTACGACAGGTGCGAGACTCGGCGCCTCCATTTAGAGTTCTGGAAAAGTGTCAAGAGCTTTGTCTGCGCGACAGAACGGCGACGAACAACCTCGTCCGCGCATGTACGAGCTTTGACTTCCAGCCCGGTAGCAGAATTGCGTCCTTCAGCGGCGCCGCCGAGTACGAGGAGAGTACTTGCTATTTAACGAGGGAACAGGCGTTGCCGGAGGGCATCGGGAATCTCATGCTCGTACCAAACAGCGTGCACTTCACTGAAGTGTGCCTGGCGTGTGAGTATTCGCGCGGATAGAAAAAGATATCGTTGTGCGCCGTATTAATTGAAACATCGTCCGCGCCGGCGAACCTCTCCGCCGCGGCGGGGAAAGAAAACAAACCGAAACAATTTCTTTCCGACTTCGCGATGAAATCTGCGAGCGAGCGAGTCCCCACGAAGAGGTTGAAAACGATGCAATCTTAAAAATTCAATTCCGTTTTAAAGTCTATGGAGTATTTTCAATTACAATTTGTTTCGTCTTCTCTTGAAGATCCACTTGTTGAGATTTAGACAATGTTTGTCTTGCGCATAGTCACTCGAGCGATTTTTGCAAGATAGAATTACTATTCTCAGCTGACAGAATAGAGAGGGAATGTCCTAACCGTCGTTACGTGTTCGAGAGGCATCCGAGGAAGAAGCTGAAACTACCCTTGACGGATATCAAGGAAGTCAGCGCAGCTAACAGAACCGACTGCGAGGACAGGTACCGCACGGTTGCGAGTAGAAATTCGTGTGTGCGTCGTGTGTGGAAGAAATAACGTGTTCGGATCTTCTCTGTCCAGGTGCTTGAACGAGTTCACGTTCGTCTGCAGATCGGCTACGTACGACACTGCCCTGAGAAGCTGTTCCCTCAGTCGTTTCACCAGGAGAACTCATCCCGAGCTGCTGGAGGACGACCCGAATTCCGACTATCTGGAGAACACCTGTCTCAACGGTATGTTTCCCGCGTCAAGCGATTTTACGCGGAAACTCTCATATTCATAAAATGACCTCACTCACGCATGATAGAAGGAATTTCTCACCAAAGGAAGAATTCGTGCAAACCAACTAACATTACCTTGTGCTTTTTAATATTTCACAAGCGGAACGGCGATGCGATGGACTCGCGGTATTCGTCAAAGAGGAGAACAAGCGTCTACGGGGCCCGTTCGAAGTGGATATTTACACGAATCTCACGTTGGACGAGTGTCAGGCATTATGCCTGAGAGCGGAGAAGTATTTCTGTCGCAGCGTCGAATTCGACGAGCAAACTCGACAGTGCGTCATATCCGAGGAGGATTCCGTCTCGCAGAAGGACGACATCGGGGTCAGCAGCAGCCCCAGTCACCATTTCTACGACCTCGTGTGTTTAGATAATCGTGAGTACATTCAAAATGTCTAACATCGCTTCTCACACATTCTCACTATTCTATACGTTCACATTATTTTAATCACACTATACAGAGACAAAGATTTTTTTGGATTTAATAAAAATTTCTTTAATTAAAACAAATTTGTCTTTTGGAGCAGAGCAAATATTTGTTTCAAAAAATAGGATTGTTTGATTGTTCAAATAATAAATATCTTTATGTCAAATAACATTTATTTTGCATCTTTATTCAAACATTACAATGGGTTTTAACATAAATTAGCAAGCAATAAATTATTTGAAAGAGTAAAGAGTATGTCAGAAAAATATTAAAGAACTTGTTTGTTTCAGTGGAACAATACTTAATATATGATGAAATAATGTTATTATTGAAAACAAAATATTACTTCCTCTAAATAATACTTTTTTCTATCAAATGGTTTACTGTATTGAAACAACATTCAAACAAAATGCTATTAGATATTAAATTATGTTGTTTATGTTAAACAAACCCAAGTCGAATAAACACATGTACTAAATCCGAAGAAACCTTTTTCCCTGTAAATTTATTAAATTTTTATAACTTCACACTTTTCATTAGAAACTTAACTCAAAGGTTATAAATAAATAAAACGCACTTTAATAAAATCACCAGACATATTTCTGATAAATTGCACGATATACGAGTTGACGTTATTAATTGAATCCAGCATGAATCGTCTAAGTTGCTCCGCACAATTCGATTGTAATTCATACTGTGACGCGCTCGGGACGCAAGATACAATTGAGACGACGACGGTCGATCGGCGACTCACAACTCGTTATCAATGCCCATTTACGAAACGTAGATCCGTCCTTAGCGCGTGGCTCGGAATATCCGGACAGCAGTTCAACGTCCCACCTGTTCTCCGACGGACGTCGGCCGGACACGGCTTTCCAGCGTTATCGGAATTCGCGTCTGAGCGGTGAGTTCCACTCGGAGATCACTGGACGCAGCCTTAGCGAATGCCTGGACGAGTGCCTCCGACAGACTAGCTTCCAGTGCCGCAGTGCCGTCTATTCCGAGCATTATCATATCTGCCGACTAAGCCGATTCAATCAGCGGGACGGGCACAGGATCATCTACGATGCCGATTACGATTACTACGAGAATCTCATGCGTGAGCATCGAACGTTCAATTATCATCTTCTCCTTGACTCCTGCGAAGTCTCCGTTTCATACGAGCCCTTCCTTATTTCTTGAACTACTATGTCGCTTGATGTATCGCCTTTTGGCATGCGTCGTCGATGACAGCGCTGCATCCTTAATAAATGTTGTCGGAACTCCCAATGGTACACATGTGCGTCACGCATTGCATGTCGCAATTTCAATGTTTAGTTTAACGACGCAACTGTGCCGACAGATCAATATTTGGACGGCGATCGCGACGGCCCTGGATACAGACCAGATCCTTTGGGACAGGACACAAACTTCGGACGACCCTCTCTAGGAAGACCGGGTTAGAATCTCTTTATTAATTCAGCATAATGTTATGCGCCGACGCGTTGTTTAGAGTTGCACAATTATTCATAGAGCTGCCGAGTAACTACGCACGTGTAGTCGATCTGATGGAATAAGATCGTGAGAGAACACACGTAGTCGCGACGTGTCTTGCCGCTAGACACGACAACGAACTAACTTACAAACTAATTATTTGCTCGAAACTAACGTATTTCGAAGTTAACTCAAATTCGCGCTCGGGTTTCGCATTTAACGTTAAACGCATGGCAACGCGTCTGATTTTGACTTTTACTTCTTCTACTGTGCGACGATACGTATGATTTCGCGATGTTTTCATTGCATTATTCGAAAATAAGAAATATTTTGCGCGTAGATAATTATCATCTACGATAATTAATAATATTTGCTATTTATCGATGTCGAATATGATTCTCAGTTTCGCTTGATCTTCAATTTTCAGGTTATTCGGACGATTACGATAAAGGATATTCTGGCAGTCCAAAGCCAGATCGATATCCTGATCGTATTCCGGATCGTTATCCAGATCGTTATCCAGATCGTTATCCAGATCGTTACCCAGATCGTTATCCAGATCGTTACCCAGATCGTATTCCGGATCGTCAACCCGATCGTTATCCGGATCGGTATCCTGACCGTTATCCTGATCGGTATCCCGATCGTTATCCTTCACCAGCTGATAGATTTCCGGATAACAAATACCCTGGACAATATCCTTTAGGTGATTCGGACAATTATCCGGACCGGCATCCTCTTGGCGATCGATATCCTGATAGATATCCTGGAGATCGTTATCCTGCTGGAGATCGATATCCTATGGGAGACCGTTATCCTTCCTCAGATCGTTATCCAGATCGTTATCCGGTTTCAGACCGATATCCGGTATCCGACCGATATCCTGTAAGAGGGGGAGACAGATATCCCGATTCTGGAACTTTAGACAGATATCCTACGACTGGCAGATATCCCGTGATACACGGTGTCCGATACCCATTAACACCGAGCCGGTATCCCACCGACGTCAACGATCGATATCCCAATATGATCGACCGGTATCCTTTCCCCGACGATTCACTGGATCGGTATCCTTCGGGATTAGGTGGTGGCAGGACTCCCGTTGACCGGTATCCAGCTACTGAGAGATATCCCCCCGACAAGGATCCTTACGCCAATCGGTAAGTCGCGAAATTAAAAAATCAGACGATATATTCTATTGAATATGCTTATTTCATATATATTAATTACGTATTATTTATTACGTTAATTATTTTTAATTACGTGTCTTATTAGAGAATCTCTCAAAAATTACTTATTAGGTATATTACTATTTGAAATAATTTTTCATAATTATTCTACACATTAATGTGGTTTTTTTCGGTTATTAAATGTAACAGAAAAGTAAATGTTACAGAAATGAATTCTCGTCTTTTCTTATCGACTTTTGGATCCTTTAAGAATATATGCCATTTCTATCGTTCTTCTGATTTTCGCTCGAGAATCGTCCTCACAATTTCAAAACCTCGTGGTTCCCCGAAAAATAAAGAGAAATTATATGTATTAAATTAAAGAAAAAACAGTAGGTACCCGCCAGCAGGGCACGGAGGATACTCGCACGGGTTCATCGATGACGTTCGCGGTCCCCAAAGTCACGGTGCCGACCGGCCTCATTACGGAGGACCTTACGGCCCAGCTCGACCTGTCGGGGGATACGGAGGATACGGTGGCGACGGGGGTATCGTGGGTGGCGGGTATATAGGCGAAGGTGGTGTCTATAATTCTCGTCCGTTCGGAACCGCCGGAGGGCCCATTATAGGCAGACCGCCGTTGGTATCCAGATGCGATGAACAAGACAATTTCAGACAAGTCGGACCTCACATCAGAGTACGGAAACCGTTCGTTAGACGATACACCACCGCCTCCTCGTTGGCCCAATGCGAGAGAGAATGCGCGGACGCTAGAGACTTCGTCTGCAGGTAACGATAATGACCGAACTTGCAGAAATAATGGGCGAGGAGAATTAGAGGGTAATAAATTAGAGCGGTGTCCGACTCGGACGAATTTATGCACTAATTGCGCAAACGCTTCACTCGAGAGATATTCTCGGTATGAAGCAACAAGGTATATTTGCTTCTTCTTTACTTTTTGTAGCTAGTGAATTAGCCTTCGATACATGTCCAAGAATCGTTAGATTAATCTGAGTAAATATTGATCAGTGAGAGAAGATCTTTTGATGTATAGAGAAGATCGATTAAATTGTCACGCACCGTTAGTGCAAGAATTGTTAGCTTATGCACCGCTTGAAGTAAACGGAACAGCCAAATCTCCACAAGATACGAATGAAAGGGTCATTTTTCAAAAATGACTGCCACAACAGCAACTATCGCGACAGAATTTCGATAGTTAATTCAGGAGGATAATCGAGAACCGGGGAAGCTTGAAATTGAATCAGCAGTAATCCAACACCGTTTGTTTGCGCAATCGATCACGACGCTCGCAAATTTCCGATGTCATTCGCAGATCTTTCAATTACCGGCCGTATGCCGCACCTTACGGAGCCGAGAGGGACAACTGCGAGCTCAGCGACCGGGACTCTAGGGACATGGACATGGGCAACCCAGTTTATTACGACACGGGCTCCGATTACGACTTCTACGAGAGGAACAACGGTCGTCAAGGGGCGGATGGGGAATGTCTGGACGGTAAGCGCCGAGTCCGTCCGTGGGCGCAGAGGGCAGAGCCGGGAGACGCGCGAAGCGCGCCAGAGGATTAGAAACCACAGTAAAACGGGACATAGAAAATGGAAAATGTCCGAAAAGGGAAAAGAGAATTTTTCCAAATTTCCCACATTTTTCTCTCTACCTCTATCGCATTTTCGGAGATCCTCGAACTCGTTGCTAGATTACTGCTAATATTAAAGACGAGAGAAGAGTGATCGTGAAATCGTCGAAAAAGTTATTTCGAACAAAGTGACTATGTTTTTAACACAAGTTAGACTTTTATATAGTTGTTTTAGATAATTAATATATTCATATTATCTACGTCCGTTTCTTATTGATCTCCTCTAGCATGCACGATAACATAACATTAGTTTAATCTACCTTAAATCTATCTTGATTCTTCATATATTCTTATGTATTATTCACTACTTATTGTATATACAAGTCTGCACGATTGTCACAGGACTTCAACCTTACGAAATAAAAATCTAATGCTGTCCCGTATACTTTTTTTTTATCTACACTTCTTCGATGAATATCTCACACGTCGCACGTGTGCAACCGACGTAATACCTACACAACAACACAACTTACACCACGAGGTATGCCGACACTTTCTAATAACTATCCTCGATTAGCGACATGCTGACTTTTTCTAATAACAACACATAAGTAGACAAACTGTCGATATTTAACACGTTTATATATTTTTGTATTGTTTACAAACTCGAATATTGTTATCTTCGTTTGCCGTTAATTTTTCTCATTTTTAACTTTAATTTGGACGTAATTAAATAATTTTGCGTTGTCGCGCATCCCCTTTGAATCGACGTTTTCCGGAAACTGCGCTCATGTTGGACACCGGCGAATTAACTCTCCCTTGCACTTCTAGTGAGTCAAGTCTGTAGCGAGGACGGGATGGAGTTCACTCTGAGGACACCGGAGGGATTCATCGGGCGAATTTACACGTACGGATACTACGATCGATGCTTCTTCCGCGGGAATGGCGGGACCGTGAATGTACTTCGCATCAGCGGACCTCAGGGATACCCGGAGTGCGGCACACAGCGAGTAAGAGTGGCTATTTTATTTAACATTGACCCATAAATAAGTTTCATTCACGTTGGAAACTATCGTCGTGTATGCAGCGATAGTCGAAGAAGCGCGAAGTTCTCAGAAATCTTATAAAACTTTGGATGTAAGTCGAAAATGAGGAACGACTTTAATCAAACGTCGAATATCAAATATATTTTATGAACTTTGAGCTCCAGAACGATTTTTCATATTTTTCTCTTCTTCTTGTGAAAGAGGCACAATTGTCGTTTACTTTTCGGTATCGTTGTACGCGCCGATTGTAATAAAATCATTTTGCCGACGGATGATTGCAGTACGGCGATACGATGACGAACATCGTGGTGGTGCAATTTTCGGACTACGTGCAAACTGGGCGGGACAAGCGATTCAACCTGACGTGCCTATTTCGAGGCCCTGGCGAAGCTGTCGTCACATCCGGCTACATCGGTGCCGGGTATGCCAGGTCATATCGATCGAGAGGTCGTGTCTTGCACCAAAAGTACGGTCTTTAACGCGTTAAGTGCCATACATATTTTCAAGAACGTCGAATTCCGTAAATATCGGGGAATCCTTGGGCATACGTTCCCAGGAATATAATTAACAATCCCTTCATAATCTTCGTTATACGCGTAATTCTCCATTTTGTCGAATTATGCATTTTGCAAGACTCCTTTTCGGCAAAGTGTATCGTTTAACGTCCGTCACGTATAGGGATTTCTTCCTGCTCCGTAATTGCTGAGCGACACCATTCCAACGGCTAATCCAAAGCTTTCCGCACTTGTTAACTTTTTTTATTTTAACGCGGACCCATGTATGATGCTTAGCGGGTTACTGCGAGCGGAATAAAACCGCTTCGCTTACCGTATGCGAGTTTATTCGTTTATATGGGTGCAAGCACGCTCGTGCAATTTCTTTTATCACACAATCAGTCCCAAATGTCTGTCGAGAACGAGATGCATATTCTATTTCCTGTACGCGAGATTGCCAATCTCACATTATATCATAAATCGCATACAACACGAACGCTACATTCGCGCGAATTCATGTATACTCGTATCGAAGACTGCTTTAACATTATTTTTAAACGACAACACAACACAATTTTAAATTAGCTTCAGCATTAAAGGTTTAGTGCGTACTTGGTTAGAGAGCTACAGCTCGTATTGTCCCAATTAGCAAAATTGGAATTTCAAACAATACTAACAAAGATTCACGCCATCGGCATCGCCTCTTGTACCTTCCCATTATCACTCGATAATTTGGAGTAATCCCAATTTCACTAATGGGACTCGTACGTGCGCTGTGCAGATCAGGATCTCCTATCCCCATCGAATACCTCCCAGCGGAAAACACCCTGAGTTCCAGAGTACGTTTGCTGATCCTTTATCAGGGAAGACCCACGACCACCATCGCGGTCGGCGATCCCCTCACTTTCCGACTCGAGGCTCAGGATGGGTAATCTTCGGCTTATTTTGCTTTAACACTGACCGACTGTGTAAACGGTAAAACTAAACTTTAAGAGAAGAGGTTTGGCAAGGAATGATATAACTTTCGTGAAATTGCCGCTGCACGTTGTTTGATAATTCCGTCGATTTGAAGTTTCGCATGTTCGGCGTAATCGCGGCCATTATTTGTTGTAGGTACAATTACGTAACGGATATTTTTGCCACCAATGTCATCGCGAGAGACCCCTACTCTGGTAGAAGCGTGCAACTTATCGATAGATACGGGTAAGAAAGATTAAATATCTCTCCCTCAGTATATTCCTTAAATAAATATCTTGCGCAAAAGTTCAATAAGTATCCTTTGTCGAGATATTCTCGATATTTTCGAATTGATAATTTATATTTCTTACATCTGAATTTTTCCTCTCTCTCTCTCTCTCTCTCTCTCTTCCTTTTCTCTTCTTCCTTTTGATTAGGAATAACAAAGTACGACGATAAGCAATCTCGATCTAAATTTCATCGTAGCGAAATAAAATGACTTGTGCAAACGATCGTTTTCGAGGACACTTCACATACACGTAACTTGAACGGAAATGTTCGCAGCTGTCCGGTAGACAACTACGTGTTCCCTGGACTGGATCGTCTCCGTGATGGCGACAGTCTCGAAGCCCGTTTCAACGCCTTCAAAATACCCGAATCAAATTTCCTGGTGTTCGAGGCGAACGTGCGAACGTGCCGCGACGGCTGCCAACCGGCATATTGCTCCGGAGGTACCGGCAGAAGCGAGCCTTCCTTCGGCAGGCGACGGAGGGACATAAATAACGACACGATAGCGGATGAGGACGAAATGTCGCCGATAACCGTGATGGACGGTGACGCTAACAACGCGACGATTTTGAACGCGACCGGCGTCGCGGACGATGAGCCGGAGGACGAAGAAGAGGAAGAGCATGTCAGAGAAATGATAGAGGTAGATCGTTTTCATCTCAACGCTCCGAGGGAATCATCCGCGCCGTCTGTCATTTCTATTTCACGAGCGTGACTGAAAAAGGACCGTATAAATTTTCGCGATATTTTCTGCACAGGTTCTCGACTCACGGATGGATATCGAGGAAGAAAGCATAGTTGAAAAGCAGACTAAAATCCTAGAAAATATTTGTATTACTCAAAACGAATACTACGGGTTAGTCACAGCAGTCGGGATTCTCGTCGTGCTCCTAGCCTCCGTCGTTCTTCTGTCTATGCTTGTTTACAGGTAAATTATCAACCCCGTATCATCTCGTGAAAGAGAATACATTTTCTATTGCTTTCTAATCTTACGGATCTAAAGAGAATGATATGTCATCGATATCACGTCTCATTTTCGCAAATCGTATTTTTCATCTCTCCAGCTCGTTATAAAGATTCAAAGTGTCTCGTTATTTCAGAAAATACGTTTATTCCGTGATTATGAAAAATCGTAGACTCGACAAAGCTTGCAACCGCAGCAGCCACTCCGACGAGCCCTACAGCAGTCGAGTCAACAATTTCTCGTTCATGAGGGCAGGTCTTCAGAAACCATTTCAGGCCTCGTAAGTGGTTAAACTAGACCGACGCCTGCGCGTTTTTACTTGCAAATTGTTGAAAGCTTCATATACGTTGGGCAAGCATTGAATATTTTAAGCTTCGCCACCAAGTTTTTACGTTATTCACTCGTATATTCGATTATATATGGATTTAATTTGCGATAAAACTATAAAAGATGGTCGTGTGTCACTAGATCGATATCGAGATCAATGAGCAACGCAATCAGTCAACGTCTCTCTTCGTCGTCCAATGCTCTAGAAGGTGCAGTGGGATTATCAGTCAGTCGGCGCAACGACTTCGACCCGAGCGAGCCGATCTACACCGATCCTTCACTCTTCGAGGTAACACGCTGCGCGAACACTTCGAAGCCGACCCTCAACGATAACTTTCATCTTATGTAAGACGAAGACGCGACATGATCGATCTTCAAATTTGCATTATAGCGAACGATCTGCATTCTATTTATTTACTCTAACTGACGCGCATATGAAACCGACTAACGGATCCACGACGAATTAGCATCCACTACTACAACAATTTATTTTACCACTACTAGTCAATAATCTATTGCTAGTACTACTGCTAATCATATTTTCAAACAATTATCTCAAATTTCAAATAATTCATATTATATAATAATTCAAGTCTTATCGACTCTTTGAAAGTATGTTTTAATTTGCAATCTACGTTTTTTTTATAGCTGAATAGTTAAAGATCCTTTCTTAAAATTTTTTCTCGAGATATCTTAAGCGAAAACATCGGCTATCTTTCTTTCCTTAAATAACATTCCACGAAATGACTGCAATATATAACTCATAATAATATAGAAATCTTTAAATTAAGCTTTAATTAAGCTTTAAATTTTACCAAGGATTGTATCTCTTTCAAGATACGAGAGGATCTAGATTAATAATGTGGTATATCTAATTTTTAGTTTTATCTAACATCTCTCTTACGAAATCTACCTTTAAAGAATATTGCTGCTTCTTCTTTCTCTTTTTGTCTTATTTTCCTTAAGTTTGTGAAGTAGTGACGCGTTAGAAAGAATGCTTGATATTACGATAATAGACGAGCCAAATTCTCTTGACTGTCTTTTTACTTTAGTCAGATGCGACCGTCTTTAGCGTGCATTAGAGCATAAAAATCAAAACATTTTTCCTTTTTTACTACTTTTGAAACTTTCTCAATCTTTCGTCACATCTGCGTCCAACAAAAGTCGCGACTTCGTAACGTTCGCGTTACGAGCCAGATAATATCGCATAACGCAATAGTTATTTACTTATTACCAAATAAGAACGTTCAGAAAGTACGTATTTATTACGATTGTACTCTAATCATGCATTTATGAGAAGTAAATCGACATTACACACACACACAAGCCAGTTTTATTCGTTATTCACGTAATCGAGATCCATCTCGCTTCGAACAAAAATAAAAAAAAGAAAGAAAGTGGACTTACGTGAACATATTATAGTTTCTGTCAGTCCTACTTGACTCTGTCTAGCTTGTAAGTAAAGAGCAGCATCCTGAGCCGTGCCTCCTCCTTGCGATAGTGAGCCTCCTCCAACTTGATCCTCGCCTCCTCCTTCAGCATTGCGGCGATGTCGACCTTCATCTGCGCTTCTGAGAGCGCAAGCATATGCAACTCCTCCTCTCGTTGCGCAGATTTTCTCTTGCGATTATACTGCTGCATGACGGAAGGCGACGTCAAGATGTTCGGCCCTAAATTTACGTGATCTTTCTCGAGGACGTTTTCCACCGATTGGTTGATTGTAAGCGAGTCGGCGTTTGTTTTTACCGATCTCTCCTGATAATTAACCATCGGGTCGTAAGATGCGGCAAAAGTGTCACATTTGTTCCCATCAGCGGTCATCCGCTTGAATGTATCGCCGTCTGTACAAAATTAGAAATTTAATAAGGATGATTTTTAATTATTCCGATGAAATTACAAAACTATATAAAGATCCTTTTATGTACATCAAATATATTCTTGTTTTCTACTAAAAAATTATAAGACAGATTTATAGTTTTTAAAATTATTTGGAACATGAGATCGATGATAATTTAATTTATAAAACTGTCAGTTGTATTTTTTTTTATGTGTAATTATCATTAACTTCGTTTACGATTAGGAAAATCAATCTCTTATGTCACTGATTCTACTATGGTAATTAAATATACAAGGGAGTGTGTAAGCTAACATACAGTTCGAGTCCCGGCAACTATCTGCGTCCTTGGAACAGCTCGGCTTTTGAAGTCTTGCGGTGCAAACGCTTTGCAACGTGAACGGCTCGGAATCCGTTGGTTCGAATAACACATTCGGTGGCAATCCGACGGTTCCGGTAGACGTTGGTGCTTCCGATGTATTCTGCCCGCAAGTCGCAACTTCCCAGCACTGGCTCTTTCCACGAGTCTCATCTTTCGTCGATTGACAAACCGCTTTCGTACTACAGTTTAGACATCGAGAAATTTAGATACTCACCATGCATCTCTTGCCTCTCTTTCCTTTATAAATGTATAGATATTTCATTCGGTCGCGCGCGTGTGTGCAACGTTTTTTGTTTCACAATCCCTCGTCATTTTTCACGCAATTCGAAGATATCATCTTTCTTGATTTTTCTACGAGAGAAGAGATTTGTCCTATTTTTGCGAGCAAGCTCGGAACGAAAATACCATTCAACGATATTCATGTCCGTTGAGAGTTTCGCAAAATGTAATATTCAATCTGATTTAGATCACGCTTTGACAACGAAAATAACTGTTCAGCAGAGAAGATCTTACCGGATTCTCTTCTCCTCGCGATTGCGCTTGCAAGCCTTCATGTTCTCCCAGCAACGTCTGAGTTGCACCGCGGAACGTGCAGCTTGAGGCCCGACCAACGAGTTGTACTCCTCGGCAATCAGCGACCAGGCCGATCCCCGTTTGCATACGAAGAACGAATCCGATTTCCTGCTCTCGATGATCTCGTATTTATTTATTAGTGATATAAGGAGCCTTCGTTCCTCGAAGCTGTAGGTCTTGCGGGTGCCTTTCAGAGGCATGGATGCCATTTTATCACGGGAGTACTGTGCCGTCGATTGTTTCACTCCCGATGCGTTTCCCTTGATTTTAAGCCCTATTCAGATCGACCTTCGTTAGTGTCTCGTAAGGTCTTCGATCTGTACCAACCCTAAATCCCGAAATCTGAACTTTCGTTCGTGCACATATTAACCATATTACTATAGATCCGATCGTCAATTAAAAAGGAATATACAGAAGGTAGGAGATATAATGAAAATTCGTATATATGCGCAATCTGTAAGGACATTACGATTATATAGAACGTCGATAAGGTACAATTAATATTACTGCTGCCATCCCTCGGACGCTTGTGACAACTTTAACGTATCAAACTACGCGCCAAATGACCCGCCCAGCATACATATTTCACCTTGTCTATTAATTTTAATATGCCCTTTTTCTTATATTTCACAGAAATCGGTCGCTTTACATTTGACTGAAATACACGAGTGAGAATATTAAGCAAGATTTTCAGATACATCATTTGTTGCACTCTTTATCGGAATATGTAGAGTTAACCTTTTGGTAGATCGAATAAACGTAGAACGAAGCAGCCGGTTGATATTTTCCATAATAATGAGAGAACTTGAGATTCACCTTCGGCGTGTCAAAGGTACGAAAGCCAAGCAATTCAAGAATCTGAATTCCAAATCGCCATTATATGGCGAGCGCGCGATATTTTGTTCGGCATTCCCGACGGGTATTTTTACGAGACGTTCATTCCCAGAGGTTATTGAATCATAACTTACCACGGCGACTTGCGAGACTTACTTTCGACACTACAGGCGACGACTTGAATGCGAAACTCATCTTCGGGAAGCGGGAAACGCAGAAAATACGGAGCGATTTCTTGACTTCATTGTGCCGCGACAAACCGACCGACTGAACTCGAAACGATTGAACATTGCAACGATTGAGATACTCGAAGTGTCGCTCGATATAGCGAGCTGACTACGTGATTCAGTTATACATTGAAAACCGCGAGATATAAAATATTCAAAATGCTCGAGATAATTATATCTAAATTAGTAGCAAAATTGTTATTAAAATTGACAAACAAAATAGACAACAAAATTTACAAAATAGTCTTTTATCTAGGAAAAATATTCTCCTCAATTCTTTATATCAGCTTTTCGACAAATTGGCTTGTTGCGTCATGTGACCGCGCCATAGCAAATCGCATCATTTCGCAGTCGTTCGAATTCAATTCGGTTCGCTCCGTGTTTGTCACATTCTTCTTACCTGTCGAAAGTAAATTCTGAGTATAAACGAGTACCGAGAGGGCCGAATAAAGTGCCGGGAGATTGTTTTAAGATATAAATCGGTCTGTACAGGTGCGATTAAACGCGACGTGCTTAAGATACTCGTAACGAATACTCGTCGCATCATGTCGAGAATATGGGACTATGGAATCAAACGGAGCAAGTGAGTTCATCTCTGTTAGATCACACGTTTGCTTTCATATTTCAATCAGTTTTTGCCTTTTTTTCATTAGTATTAATGAAGCGCTCTCGAATCGAATTCGCTGTTACTTATATCTCGTCGGTATTATCGGAAATTTATTGCAAGAATTTTTATATTATTTCGGAGAGATGAAAGATCGTCTCCCGTTTAACCGTTTCAAGATCTGTTTTTAATTACACTATGTTGCATTTTTCATACATAAAGTAGGCAGACAGGAAACCTGTAAGGTTATGTATATGTACAAATGCAACTCGTACTCTCTCTCTCTCTTTTGCAAGCGCGGTTGAGACCGTTTAAACAAACAAATCCAAGGACAGATGGCGGCAGCTGACGTGAAGGTCGCAGCGCTTGACGTCGTTCAAAACATTCGAGATGTGGACGTCGTCGTCCGTGGAAGCTGTTTCTCAGTTGTCAGTTTGTATATAACGGTGAATATATCGTACGAATAACGTCGTATAAAATGAGACGGCATGTTCCATTCGACGCGACTTCTTAGCGGGCTGCTCGTTCTACTACTATCGATAATTGCGCTATGCGATGGCGCGAACTACACGTACGAGGTCGACTGTAATAACCTACGAATGGGACAGTACATCTGTCCGCATCCCGATTACGATTTCATAGACCCGAAGACGCAACAGCCGCGTGGATGCACGAAGGAGAACAAAGCCAAAGGTATGTTCGAGGAAATCCGAGCTCGATCTTGCAGTGACAGCCTTAATCTTATCTGAAGTTCATTTCTAACCTATGCGCTCTATTTCCAATAATTTTACGTATACTGTCTCCAAAATGAAATAAATACACGTTTAGCCTTTATTAAAGACAGAATATTACAAGTATAATTGAAAATAGATTGTTATGTGATCCATATTTTATCAAATGTAACAATGCATCTTCCTTTAAATTGCTATGCGATGAAAAGCAAATCTTCATGGCGTGCAAATGAACAGACATCCTATTCATGTTCCTTGTGAGCATTTTCTTAGTATGTTAAAGAAAAATGAAGCTTTAATGTGCACAAACAGAAATTTTATTCAAGACTAAACCTTGAATGTTTTCATCAGTGTTATGTTTAGCTGCTGATGGCCTCATCTGTATAGAAACAAAAAATAACACATTCAAGAAGGATATACCTTGCAAATGGACGTAAGTATGATTACAGATATGTCAGAAATTACAATACAGAATATCTCTTTATAATAAACAGTGGTAGCAGAATATCAAAATAAAATTTGCAAAAAAAAGTTTAAGAGATACGCTTCTATATCTTTTGATCAAGTTTAGATATTTTGAAAGTAGGTTTGAAATATCAATGTCAGAATTATTTTCTCCAGGAATGGATACTCTTTCGAAACATCATTACTGCTGTCTATATTTCTCGGTATGTTCGGTGCTGATCGATTTTACCTTGGATATCCTGCTCTGGGCTTGCTTAAATTGAGCACACTGGGGTTTCTCTTTCTTGGTCAATTCGCCGATGTAATATTGATAGCCACGCAGATCGTAGGACCAGCGGATGGCTCCCACTATGTCATGCCATATTACGGTGCTGGAATAAAGATTGTAACCAGCAACAATTTCACGTACAGAGTGCCACAATATGATTGCTGAGGAAACGGCAGATCCAGCACACGTATGACGAACGACCGTTCTAAAAATTGTATAGCCTTCTCTTTCTTGTCGCGAGCAACGATGTACAATCCTAGAATCGAGTCCTATTTCGGTACACGTGGATGTAAATTAGTCTCTATACTATTTTAATGAATAAGCTTAATGTTAATCTTGTAGATAATGCATACTTCAACGAAATGTTGTATATAGACATTTATTACTGATTTACGTATTGCCAGCTGATATAATTAAATAATAAACGTTTGTTTTTCTATTTTTGTCTTTTGTTTTTAAGTGCCGCCAAGTCAATTGTTTAAATCCAATGCCGACAGTATTGTCTATGTTGACTTTTAATCAAAGTTTACTACTTTGAAAATATCATGAGTATAATACCCATCGTTAGCCTTTTCGACACAGATCGTAGTAGCGAGAGGACAACATGGAAGTATTGCCACGCACTTTTTTTGTGAAGTGAGACGGGGCATCAGTTACGAATCGACACTGCACATATATGTAAGGTAAAATAATATTTTGCCAAGATATATAAATATATTACCGCAAGGGATAAACGCAATATAAAGATTACACCATAGAGATATGTAGATAAAATAATAATTTATTAGAATTATACTCCGAAAGCTTGTTGTTCTCATCTCCGAGGTAGTTCTGAGCAGTTACATTACTAAATGATAAGATTATTTTCTACATATGTAAAAATAAATAAGAGAGGAAGAAAAGAATTATACTACGAAACCCAAGGAAATTAAAAACCAATGATACCTATATTGATCACAGCTGTATCAAAAGCAATTTAAAATTCTAATTGTTACTACTATTACATATTTTCTTTTTCTTGCTCGTTAATGAGCGTATAATAAACGCCTTTTCGACCAATTAGGTCTGAGTGTGAACCCATCTAAAAAGAAATATACATGATTTATACATTCTTTAATAGAGATACAGCGCACATTAATTGGTATTTTATAAAAATATACCTCCACAATTACGCCGCGTTGTAACACGACGATTATATCAGCACCCTTAATGGTGCTCAATCTATGAGCGATCACTAACACTGTTCTACCTTTTGCAACGTTTTCAATCGCTTTTTGGACGACCCTCTCGCTCTCATAATCTAATGCACTAAACACACGAAATAAATATGAAATAAGCAATAAAACAGATAAGAAATTAAATTCGTTATTCGTACCTTGTAGCTTCGTCGAGAATTAAAATAGATGGCTGTTTTAATAGAGCTCTGGCAATAGCAACTCGTTGCTTTTGTCCACCTGAGAGCTGTGCGCCTCTTTCGCCAACCTCAGTCGCGTATCCATCCGGGAACTTTGTTATAAAGTCATGTGCATTCGCTTCTTTAGCTGCCTCAATAACCTGAATTGATCAAAAGATATAAGATATATTGTGAAACATATTGCAAATAGCAACTAAGTACCACTGATTGCTGTATACTCTCACCTCTTCATCCGTCGCGTCTTGCTTCCCATACCTAATGTTTTCCATAATGCTGGTAGCGAATAAAGTAGGTTCTTGATTTATAAAGCCCAAAATGCTGCTTCTGAGGTAGCTCGAATTAAGCGATCTGATATCTCGACCGTCAATAGTAATAGAACCCTCATCCACATCGTAGAATCTACAACAGTTCCATGTGCAAGTTCAACGAAATCTCGAGTAATATTCACGTGATTGATACGGAAGCTTACCTCTCCAGTAATGCAGCTACAGTCGATTTACCATTACCACTGGTACCGACAATAGCCACCGTTTTCCCAGCAGGAATGTGTAAATTAAAGTTCTTCAGGATAATATGATCAGGTCTAGTAGGATAGCTGAATTTTACATTTTTAAATATTATATTCCCTGCCAAGGATTGATCTGTGATTATGTCGCCTCCAGTCATCATTGGCGAAGGTGGCATATCCAAGTACTAGGAGAGGATACGATAAAAATTTCGACAATTTCGAATAGAATAAAGTTGCACGAGAAAGATTAACGTGTTACTTGAAAAATTCTGGAACCTGCGCTGATTCCCCTCACGTAAATTCCAAAAAGTACCGACAACTGGCTCAAAGACTTCTGTATGGTTTGCGTAGCCATCAAAAATGCCATGAGATCTCCCGAAGTCAAAGATCCTGTGGAGAGTAACTGACCGCCAAAATACAACGTAGAAAGTAAAATACCGTTGACCAATAAGTTTGTTCCTGCTTGAAAGAAGCCTATGCCTAAACCCAATTTCTCATAGAGTTCAGCCGAATGCTCGACTTCCTTGCAAAACATTTCCAACTCTTTCTCTTCCGCGGCAAAAGCTCTTACCTGACAAAGAAGAATTAGGTGCAAGCATGATACCACCATAGGATTTTTGTAATTTAACTTATTAGTTGGTAAACTTCTTATAATACCGTTCGAATGTTTTGTATAGCCTCGTCGCAAACAGCAGTCGATTTTGCAACTTGATTCTGTGCCTCCATCGATAACCTTCGCAAACTTCGACCGAGTAGAGCACCAACAAGAATTATCGTTGGCAAATTGAATACCACAAAAGTGGCCAATTGTGGTGATAGTGCTATTACAGAGATGATACAACCGATAATTTGCGTGAAACTTCTCAAGCCTTGAGAAAAGCAGAGTTTAAATGAGCTTTTGAAGTCTTGAATATCACTGGTCAATCGACTTACTATTTCACCAGAACGTGTTTTATCAAAGAATGACACGTCCTGCATAATAATGGACTTGAACAGATCCTGACGTAAACTCACTGCAACTCTTTCACCAATGTGTGAAAGTGTATAAATATATATAAATGTAAAAAATGCCTGAAGAAAAGAAAATATCAGATCTTACACATACAAGATGTGATATCAGAAAAATATTGATATCTTTATCCTTATTATATATATATACACACAGCACCGAGAATATATATATACCTGTGCAATGTACATGCGTGACAAAACAAAAGCAGGTTGAGCAAGTTGCAAAATAACATTTTTAATGGACTCATTTTTACTCTGACAAATTCTTGTCAACACATTTATGATACCTCCAACAGATTGTGGAATTTGAATATTTAACAGTGCAACTATTATTGCACTCTGTAATAATAAAGAACGATAATATTTTAGTATATAATTTACTGATATATCTTTAAATTTAGAAATTACAGGTACTTACTGATAGTGCTATCACTAAATACCAAATATGTGGATATAAATATTTCCAAAATTTCTTCCATTCGAAGGATGATATAGAATTTTCAGGCTTTATATCACTTATTATGTTAGTTTCTCTACAGATCACTATTTGATTATGTGATTGTAAAAGATAAGCTGTCGTTACTCCAAGTCCACTAAAGCCAAACTTAAATATATGTGAAATAAGTTTGGAATCATTCACATTTTCTTTGATACTTTGTTGAGTGACTTTTGTAAATTCTTGTTTTGCTATTTTCCACATATTTTCACTCTTTCCTTGTAGAACATATTTCCGTAGAGGATACCTACAATATTTAATAAAAATTAGCTGAATACATTATAATTTCAAGTAATAAATTTGTTACATTCAATAATTATGTGTGTATTGTGTGCCTATATATATTATATTCACATTTTTTGTTATGTTTATGTTATTTTCCTTCTAAATAATTACATGATTCTTTTAGCCACAGCATACAAAATTTAATAATTACCTTGAAATAGTTGAAAAATTATTGTGGCACTTGAATAACACGACACGTAACATAGACATTTTTACAGTGCAATTTGTACTATCAAACTCCACCGACACGTTAATTTTATTTGATATTTATTTCGTATCTTTCGATTTTATATTTATTTATTATTATATTTAAATATATATAATTATAATTGTGACGAAACATTTACTTTCATAATAAATGTAAAGAAATTTATTTAGAGTTCAAGAAGGTTAACTAATACTGCTACTGATGTAAGATAGAGAGAGAAATGTATATATGCAATAATACCGCAGCGCCGTGTTTTTAATAGCATCATTCGATCTATCTTCAACAGATGGCACTCAATGTATGTTCGATTGGCTAATCTTGGGTTAAACTGTCCATAGATGGCACTCGATGTATGTTGCATGGACTAACTTTGGCTGTTAACCTCACGAGTTACTATCTGCCCGTAGAAGTACATGCGCTTTGAAAGTACGATTCAGCACAAAAGATGCAAATATAGGTAAGAAATATGTAATATTTCAATATTATATGGAAGCATATGAGACACGGAATGTATGGAAATATGGAAAGAGAACTATGAAAATAAATTGTGTATAAAACTTTGTTTTCAGAAACCAAATACCGACTACGTCTTCGATAGGATACCGATATCTCAAGTAAATGGCGGACGCATCGAGCTTATTAAACCCAAGTACTTCGCATCTTACAAGGTAAAATCCTTACATTTTACGGAAAGATATACAGCACCGAGAGTTATACGGACATAGTAATTCAATAATAATTTGCACGCAATTAGACGCAGTTGCGTGTGTTATATATGTTAAATGAAAATAAGAAGACACATTTATTTTATAATAAATCTTCATATATTTCCGTTATTCATAATGACAACCAAATTTGGGGTAGTCGATAAGAACGATAATAAGAAAGATAATATTTATTTAAAACACATTGATCTATCATGATTAGTATGTTACATAAAGGTAAACATTGCGATTGCATGTTCTCTCTATTACGGTAAACACACGAATAAAAACCGATAAATGAACACTTTCTAACCTATAATTTTCATTGTATGAAAATAGGTGAGAAATATTGTCAATACTTTGAACACTCTTATTTACTTATTTATCACTAGTTTCCAACGAGATCCTATTTTATTCATCGATGTTCGCGAATATTTATAATTTATTTGCAACTTTTCGCGAATTGTCAAATGTTCGCCACGTTCGTCAGCAAGTATCTTCAATGTCGAAGGGAAGTACATATAAGAATAGTAGGAGCGGACTTTGATCAGTAAGTTAATACATACTGCGGGCGCCCGCGCGCAGAATAAAAAAGCTCGAAAATTGCGCCCCGTCCTCCGCGAGTGAGTGAGTGAACGGCGAGCCCTTAAAAGACCTAATCGCCCCGGCAAACTCTTTGAGCGGCGAGTTAATGACGTGTATTTATGTATTCGCCGCGTTTAATTGCCTGTGCAGCTATTAGCCGCGGCTTTCCGGCCTGAATACTACTACCCCACACGGTAAGATTAAGTACTCGTTCGTACTTCACGTACTGCAGAATGTTAGACGCGCAGTGTAAAATTTGCCGAATCTGTGGGGAGGATAAAGATATATTTCCCAACTTTGTATATAGAGGATTATTCTGTAGACCGCTTTTTTAGATAATATAATGTATAATTCGCGACGAAAAATTCTACCGGTAATTTCGTGAAAAAATTACTTTTTATTCGAGAGAATAAAAATTTCGCAAAATTAAGATTACATTAGGAAATCATTGGTTCTTCCATCCTGAAGAACCTACGATACTTTATGATAATTATGGCAAGGTTTTTTGAAAAATCTTTCAGAGGTTTCGGAAGAGTTTTGTCGAGGAACATACTATTAATCTCGAAAAGAATCGATTTTTACATCTCGCTTTGTATAAGTACGATTTGTCTGCCATATTTGTTCGCGTGCTACGCAATAATCCATTAGTTCCTTATTTTTTTACGATTTATCCGCGAATAGTGTGCGAGAAGGCAAATTGTTAGAGCACATTCTTTTCAAGAATGCTCTTTACGAATGCTGGAAAAATATCTTACAAACGTATTTGCGTCATCTGCGACATACTCGACGGACTCTGAGAATAGCGGGAACCTCACACATTAAACCCTTCCTCTCGGATCTACAAAAGCCATCGAGGCCGCCCTTTTAACCCAGATTTGCGGCATTCGTGGTCGCTCGTTTTATCGCTGTTTAAATACATTTTTATCTATGATAATCCGTTTAAAAAATCAGCACGGTCGTTTTGAAAATAGAATACAAAGAAAGAGATAAATGTGTATTATGATCACGAAATGAATGCAATTATCGTTTAAATATATTGAGAACGTGCGAATTAAACACGTCAAGTTTACACTTTTGAAAGATCGGGAGTAAAACTTGACTACAATTTAACTAATGCTTTATGCGCCGAATGAACAAATATCGCGCGTTATTTTCACACAAAAATATTTGCCCGTGCATCTGTGCCAAACGTTCCGAGCTCGACAGGCGCTCGGCAAAGGGAACTGAATACCGCGACAAGGCGAGATTTTTCGGAGGAAGTTGTTCCAGTCGTCGCGAAATCCGTAGCTATGGGAAGCAAGAGAGAGGGGAAGAGGGTGCAAGCGGCGTAAATGGAGAAAGAGAGAATTCAAGTATAAGCGCTATAACTGCGACAGTTTGCCGCGCCGTGACGGCCGAAGAATGGACCAAATGAAGCCTTCTAAATTTCAACACCCTCTTCGCGTCGCGAGTCTCCCCGTCTTGCCGCCGCAACCCCCGTTGCTCACCCCCTTCCCGGCGCTCTCCCTCCCGGTCCCTCTCAACCCCTCTGGAGTCGCGGGTACGAAAGCCTCGTCCGTGAAACACGCGGTGTGCAGGTGCCGGCGACGGGGTGGCGATGACGCAAAGTCAGCGCGGGCCAATGGACTCGCTCTGGAACAGTCGGAGCGGTGTACGACTGCCGGCTCGCGATTGGGCGTGGCTCCAGGGGCACCCTCGACTCTGCCGCCACCGCCGACGGGGGTGGGAGAATCCCCAAAGTGTGCCCCGGGGTGTAATATCATACCGCTAGGTGGATAAATAGACGTAGCGCGAGGCTACGTCGGTGCGCGTTGTGGGCCGGGACGGGGAGGAGAGAGAGAGAGAGAGCAGAGGGAGCACGACTGGAGGAAGGGAGGTAAACGTAAGTAGGGGTAGGACGACGACGGAGGTTCGGGGATGTGCGAAATGCGAACAGAGGACGAGGAGAATGCGGAGGAGAAGATAGGAGAGGAGGTGGGATGGGGAGGTCGCGGATGGTTGCTCGAGGCCAGCCGGTAGGAGGAATGGGGACCCGGGTCTGGTTAGAAAATGGTCGCGATAGGCGCGAGGGGTACGGGGGTTGCACAAGGAATCGGGTGGCTGTGCGCCACGACGACGGCGGACTAGAACAAATAATGGTTGTAGTCAGCCTCAGCTTCCGAGAGGTATTTTCCAGTCGCGCGAATCGCGCTACCGCTCGGGCACACTTTCGGCGGGAGGGAGGGCGAGGGTGTAAACCCCCTCGTGGCTTTCCATGAAACCGTCGACGTCGCGAGAACGACTGACCCGCGATTAAACGAGAGACACCATTAGCATATCCGAAGAACGAATCGCCTATCGAACCTTTGTTTTCGTTCGTCTTAACTAACATTTTTTTCAATCCCTTTCCCTTTGTTTTTTCGCCAATATCTGCCTTATATTTTTACATTATTTTCTAAATGAAAGTTTAAAAAATCTCAGTTCGCGAGAGCGAAAAAATCGCGAGGAAATTTGTTTTTTTTCCTCGAAGATGTAACTTTGACGTAAATTCGGCATTTTCTATACATATTATGTTCTCTGTAGAATATATTTTCAATAGTTTCGAGTTCGCGGGCGCAAATAGCGACCCGAGAATCCCGCTGCCGTGCGGGAAACGATATCGGTAGGTATAGCGCCGGGAAAACGAGCTATCATCGAGAAAAGCTGGCGCGCCTGAAGCGAGCTACCATCGTCTCGCATGCGATTTTGTAGAATGCTGAGCGCAGTGTGATGCGGAACAGGATGTTGTCAGCTGAAATTAAATTTTCCTCCTAGAGCGGCGGGTCGCTCGGCAACCTGATATTGTGGGCGTTAAGCTGCGTACACATCTACAACGCGCACTGATGATGCTGTTGCGAAACGTTCGGCGACATTCGCATTGTCACAATCTCGGTAACGATCGCGCCAATAAAATAATGATTTATTCGATCTCTAACCGTTAAAAGATTAATATATTAGAGTCATTTAAAAAATGTAAAAGAACGGACGTTGCTTCTACTTATGATATTTTTTTAGATATTACGATATTGCAAAATATTCTCGCGCTGAAACGTTCATCGGACTTTTTGCGAGACTCGATTGTGCTTGATTCTTGCAATTTGTCGCTATCGCGAAGTAGAAAAAGACATTACTACGATGCGTCACTGTGAAGTTCTTCAGTCGCTGTCATCGTGAGAACCTGACACTGCGAAAAACGGGGTCGATTTAAGGTACAGGCTGGTTTGATAGTCCCTCGGATCGTTATATCCGCTGTGTTAGAATAGAAGTACTGTAATGAGGAAAAACTATTGCAAAAGTCTCATACACTAATTTATTATATAACGTTACAGAATGTAAGATGAATTGAAGATGAAGATGAAGATTATAGAAAGACATTCTATAATCATAATTCTTTATTCTGCTATTCTACACTTTACAGCTTTATATGATTTAAAAAATATTCACTTTTGAAAGGCGCCTCACGTTTATATTTTATGTTATCTTTGCATGCTTCTCCGGGATCTGTTTACCCTAAAACAACATTATAATAACATTTGAATCACACTATTCATCGATATTCCGAAGGGAGAGACCGTCTCATGCCATTTCTCTAGAAACCCTATTAATTGTGAATTTTCCAAACTTGTTATCTATTTTTCTAAAAACCTCGTTACCTCCGCAAATATTTTTATCACACTCACCGCGGACTCACGAAAGTAACGTGCCCGTTGGGCACTGAGACATCTCGCTTCGGTCCTGGCGAAAAAAAAGTCGTGACAATGGCGGGACACTCAGTTTTCTTGGACTTTCCCCGCTTGGTTACTCCTGGGGTAGCGGATAAATGGCTACCTCGTTTCCCGTGCACCCTTGAAGTTGATTGTATCAGGGGGCGGGAGGGAAAGAACTGTTGAAAGAGCGGACAAAGGAGCGGGCAAAGAACGCAGGAAGCGGGGAACGGAGCAGATGACATCGCCTTCCGCGAAGCGACGACTATTCAACTTGTTTGCCGTACTGCGAGAGAGTTATTATGAATTGCACTAAATTGATATTTCCCATTGAGCGTGCCGCTCAAATCCTGTTCAACGCGATAATACGGGAATTATTGAACGTGTTAACTGCCGAGAAAACATTCTTCCCTTAACGGCCGAGCAAATACGCGTCTTCGAGAGGGTAGACGGGCACTATTTATTTATATTTATTTATTTGAACGCTGAACGCGCGCGGAGAAATCGAATGACAAATGCGTCCGCTGTAAAATTCGATGCGTCTCCGATGCATGTCCGTTTAATTTCGTGCGCGATAATACGTTTCTACGCGCCGACTCGCGGTAATTTTTCGATTTGACGCACCAAGTGGAATTTTCTGTCTTTAAATTATTCGCT